GTCCCCAAGCCACCCCAGGCACGAGGGCCCCTCGGTTCCCTGGTTTTTGACACTGGGCTTCCTGCTCCATCGTGATCTGACTTCCCCACAGCTAAGTGTTGGCTCCTCTGCTTCCTGGACCCCAAGCCCCTCTTTTGGGGAATACTGCTGAGCCATGCATTGTCCAGCTCTGCCTCAAGTGTGACATTAACCTTCAAGTTGCCAAATGATGCACGAAACTGACAGAGTATCATGCACACGATGGTCTCCGGCGTCCCGGACAGGGGCATCTGTGTGCATGGATGTGATGAAGCCATGTCATGTAGTGCTTACGTATTATTATTCCTGCTATGTATTACTAACTGACCAGAAAATAACGGATGGGAACAAGGAGGGAACAACCAGAGGGGTCTCTGTGATTAATCTATAAAAACACGCTTAAAAATCACAAGCACATCAATCGTGAATGTACGAGACAGTCGTCACATACTTCTAAGAGATTCAAATCTGAGATGTTATGAATCTTCACTAGTGACACCCTGATCACACAGAGATAAGCCCACGCGCTGTGGCCTCTGTGGACAGGATGCGGTGTCACCTGTGCTAATGAGAAAGGCGCTCGGGCTGAGGAGTGGGTGCTGTGATCTGCGGACGTGCTTGTGGGTGTGATGGTGTTGTACGTGCACGTGTGCAATCACCCAAGCGTTAAAAGTGGCAAGATTCAGGCCTAGACATTTTTCTGGGTAGGTTATTTCTTGCTCTAAGTATGTATTCCTTTTATAATTAGAAAGCTATTTTAATTTAAATTTGAAGACCCCTTTTCCTAACCAGAGGTTAAAGCAGATAATCCATGTGAAGTCTGTGAACGTCTCTCCCAAGCTGCAGAACAACAAAGCACCTTGCCCGTGGGAGACGGAAGTGGGAGAACTATAACAAGTGCTGTGAAAGGAGACCCGCCCTGCTCAGAACAGGCAGAGGGGCCTCGGTTCCTGTGCGTGGGACACCGGCGTTTATTCTAGGCGACTGACCGAACTGCTGGTAATCGCGGAAGAGCAAAAGGATGACTGCTAAGACTGCCTGCAGAATAGCGGAAGAAAACAAAACCTAGCTCCAGGGAGCTACTGCGCGGCGCGGAGAACCGCAGCGCTGGAGGCTGCTGTTCTCAGAAAGTCGTGACTGGGGTGAGAGGGCCTCAAGTGAGCGCCATCCCCCAACGCCACAGCACGGGTGAGGCCACTCACCGTCTCGAAGCCCGGCTTCCTTTCATACAAACCCGACTGGCGGTGCTGTGCTGAGATAGCATGTGGAGAAGAGCCCAGCAAGGAGGACTTTTCCATCAGTAAAACCCAGGTGTCCTGGGGCAGTCGCAAAGCGGCGTGGAGGGGCGCCCACCAGCGGAAGCTCCGGTAACTCCGCAGCTCTGTGCAGCGCCGAGCAGAGGCACAGAGGCGGGCCAGGCCTCCGCAGCTCTCGGGCTCCGGGAGCGATGGGGTCTGTCAGCTAGATCTCTGTAACTCATGTCTGGAAAGACCACAGTTCGCATTGAGACAACTGCTGATGTGACATATTCTGAAACGTGCCATCTTCCTAACTCAGCCTCCCCAAGTGCTGGGATGACAGGTGAGCGCCACCATGCCCGGCTACATCTGATATTTTATTGCTGATATTTTCAAGTATTTCCCCTGCCTAGGGCTTCTGTACGTTCTGACTTTGTTTCCCAAACACAGTTTAAACCTGCTCCTTGGATGTACACACAGGACCAACTCCCACTGAGCCGAGACACCATGCAGAAGAGGAAGCCAAGCTCGGACCCGCAGTCTCCTGCCCAAAGGACTGCACCACGAGCAAATAAACCTCCCAGTGTTATTGTAGACAGCTGAGTTAGGTAGAAACGTTACAGCAGTCAGAGAGGGCTGGGTCCTCAGACAGCCAGGACAAAGGCGAAACGCACCACAACCACGGCCGGAGATGCACCTGCTGGAGAGCCAGCCTCAAGATAGAGACAAGCTGACCGGACCCGCACACTTCCTCCAAGGACAAACTGGGCCTGATGAGGTCCCGACAGACATCGGCGACCCCAGCGGTGAGCAGAGACCTCTGGACCCTCCACCTCCCGGGAGACTCTTGCTCTTCCCATGCATGCTTGCTACGTGACTTGCTTCCCAATCGGACACCGTTACCTAATTTTATCGGATGCTCATGGCTGTGGACCACGTTGCACCCATGTGGGTTTCACCCCATAAGCCTCCTCTGTAATGTGGGGCACCCCAGCTCCCCACTTGGGTCCCCTCCTGCCCCTCAGAGCTTTCCTATCAATAAATATCTTCCTACTTTTAACCTCCATTGTTCCTAGAATTTATTCTTTAATTTTAGAAAACAGGAGCTCTCGTATCAGACTCTAACAGGTTGGAAGATACAATATTTTGTCTCACCTCTGGCAACATTTCCTATATCACCAGGAGCAGCCCACTCACCTCCCATGGCGGACAGTGGCCACTGGGCTCCTAGGACCTTGTGCTTGCAAGGCAGGCACGGCACCACTGAGCTGTACCCCTGGCCCTGGGCTCCCCTCTTAAACACTGCAAGCCAACAGTTAAGCAGCAAATCCCTTCTGCCCAAACAATGGGTGTTCTGCAGTCTACACCTGAATGCCAGTGGGTGCTGGGTGTGGATACTGCAGAGTGCAGCTCACTACCTTGGGCAAGGGCAGAGCTGGGCACCAGCTGACAGCGAGCTGGGGGACCAAGGAGGCCTGCACACTCCATCTGGGAGCAGTGAGCACAGCACAGATCCTGCCTGGGAACCGGAGACCACCATGAGCGGGTCTCTCCAAGCTGGCACCAGTGTGCAGGGAGGGACAGCGTCACCAAGCAACAAGGCACCCAGAGAGCAGGGCAACTGCCTGGGAACAACGCAGATGGCAGTGGAGCTTCAGCTGCAGGAAGCAGCCAGGTGGGAGGGCGACCCTTGCCGTGCAGCAGGGTGGGCAGTTAGGGCAGAGGAAGCTTTGCTTGCTGCTGTTTCGTTTCTTACAGTCACGTGGGGGCAGGGCGGGGATTTAGCTCAGAGATGCCACTGCCTGCCTTACAATCTCAAGGACCTGAGTTCGATCCCCTGTACCAAACCAAACCAACAAACAATCACACAGGGGGCTGGCGATTTAGCTCCCGAGTTCAATCCCCAGTACCCCACCCCCAAAATCACCCAGGGAGTCAGCCATGTGGTAAAGTTTAAAAATAAGAATGTGTGCAAATTATCTCTTAATGCAATGTCTACCTAGACAGCGAATTCAGGGAAACTGTCCAGCCCTCCTGCCTCAGCTGGGACAGGTGACACCTTCTGGGACCCTCAGCACCAGGAAAAGGGTCCTCACCACTGCCCGGCTGGGAACAGCTCAGAAGTCCCCTCAGTGACCCCAGAGCCCTCACTGCTCGCATGGGCCCTAATTCTGAGACCCTATTGGAAGCTGTGCGGGACAAGTTGGGTCCACACCACCACGTGGTTTCTGTGGTAATCAACCAGGTCCACGCGTACCGTTTACACTGCCTGGGAAGAGGCAGACGCGGAAGCTGTGCTGCTGCACAGGAAGTGGGGCGTGCACCCCCATCACGCAACGGAAGACTGAAGGTGACATTCCGTGTGCAGTGCCCAAGGAGACGGATGCCTGGGCCCGGAGCAGGGCTCCAGGACAAGCCCTTCTCCCCCGGACCTGAGGAGCTGTCCCACCGTCCATGCATTTTCTGTCTCTGGCAGAACCCAGGGCTCTCACAAGGCAGCACAGTGGCAGTGGCACTGACCCGTCGTGCGGCTTAAACACCGAGGCATGCGCATGACTGTCCCATGGGGCGGCCGGACACGGGTGTGGAAGTGGTCCCAACACATGGGACAGTCACACAGGTACTGCTGGTGGTTCAGGCCACTCGGCAACAAGACGTGGAATTCTGCCCCACACCCGTCACCCAGCACCGTTGGAGGCTGAAGCAGCTCAGGCCCAGCCTGGGCAACTGGGCAACCGTGAGACCCTGTCTGAAATAAAAAGGGGCTGGAGATGGGCTCGGTGCCCGGGCCCCGTCCCTCACCCCAGCGAATGACACGCGATGCCTGCCTCAACCTCCCAAACACACTGATCTCCTCACCTGCCTACGCAGCAGCCCTGTCACAGACTCCGCCGCTGGTCCCGCATTACACTTTCACTCAGAAGAAAGGTATCAACCCAGGCTTTGTGTATTTACAAATCACAACGCAGCGTCCGCAGCAACAGTCAAAAACGAGGGAAACGAGGGAGAAACCAGGGGGTGTTCAGCTAAGCCGGGGCGGTGCGGGTCCCTGCGCCACACGCGAGCGAGGCGGCGGCCAGGAGGAGCGGGGCGGGCTT